TCTCCCCACACACAGCTGGACAGCAGAGCTTGCTGCTGATCTGCCTGAACAGCTGCCTGGACTCCCACCTCCTTTCTCTCTCTCTCCTGAGTCCAGCGGGGATCTCCTTCTCTCTGGTCAACAGGACCACAGCCCCTCTTTCCCAGCTCCAGGCTGGCATTCCTGGAACTGGGACACATGTCTGGGGTATGCCAGCAGTTCTCGGGGGTCCCCCTCACCCCTGTAAGAGAATCGATCTCCAGGTCCCCAGCTTTCTAACAAGTGGTCTGCCTGGGATGTGAGTGAGGGCTCCTGTTCCAGGAGGGAGGGAGCTGTCCTTCAACACCTCCTGTCCAGAGACCCTTCCCCCACTTTGCAGGAGTCAGGCACTGGCTTCCCCTTCCCGGGTCTCTAAAGGGCAGGACGGCAAGGGCTCGGGCCAGGAGAAGAGGAACCGCTACCATGAGGAGTGATCTCCCTATCTGGGTAACCACTGCCTCTGAGAGTCAGGTAATTCCTAAGTCCTGGTGTTAAACAGCCCGGAATACAAGTCCAAGAGCCCTGTGGCCAGAGGTAACACAAAACACTGGGTGTGAATCTATATACTTTGTGTTGTTGTCACAGGAAGGATCACAGAATGATCAGGACACCTTTAAAGATAAAAACATACCAGAAACCGTACAACCTATAAAACCTAGGGGTAGAATTCTGTAGGAGGAAGGGAAATACAAATTTAAGGAGAAAAACGAAAGGTGTCAAGTTTTTAACCGTTGAAGAACTTATTCATGCATTAAAACAACGACAATAACAACAACACACGACTGATACCAAGAATCAAATATAGATCCCATTAGAATTCTTAAATTGGTGTAACCATTTAATTTAAAAGGTCAGTATGTATAATATGCTGGAAATGACGTCCTTTCAACTGTTTAAATTTAGGATGCAGACTTCCAGGAATTAGCCTAAAGAATGTGCTTAGGGAACAGAGTGTCACAGGATTTTTAGGAGCATGGGGAGCAAGTCAGCAGGAAGAGCACTGCTCCAGACAAAGCCTCCAGAACATTCTCCAGACGGAGGACGGAAGGGACAGAGCAGGACCGGTTTCCCACCTGCGCAGTTCTCAGCACTTGCTGACCCTGGTCCCACAGCCAAGCTCCTAAGACCTGCGGTCACCTAACTACCTGCTCTCATTGCATCGCTGGCCGGGGCTGGCCCCTGGCTGCCCAGCTGTGTCTCACTCCTCACAAGAATCACCAGAGTCCTTCGCTCTGAGTTCTTGAGGAAGATTCCCTCAATCTTCAAGATGGGGTGTGAAGTCTCAAGGGAATCACAAGACTCCCTCGGCCATGCCCAGAAAAGCTCACTCATTCTGTCTTTACCTTATCAGACAATGACAGGTTTCGCCACTGGGGATGGAAGAGCGAATGCATCTATTGGACTGGCATTTCATGAGCGACAGGCACAATGCACAGACGGGAGGCATGTAGTTACAATTCTAAGTGTGGCAAATGTATGGAGGAGTGACCTCGACACGGGGACATACTCTGGGCCTCAGCCTCCACTTTTTCCCTTCTTTCTCAGATTTCATACTCTCGTCCTCCCTGCTGCCTGGCCCCTCCCTCTCTCCAGCCCCTTCTCTGGTAAGCAGGACGTGGTCTACACACGATGGATGGGGCCAACACTTAATTCGGTGTCTACACTGTTTTTAAAATATTGACTTCCCGGGCCCCGAGCTCTCCAAGAGACAGTGGGGCTGTGTAGAGCAGAGCCCCCCTCTACACCTGCTCCCCTTTCGTCGGCGGAGGTAGGTTGCTGAGCTACACAGTCTGTCTTGAGTCCAAAGGCCAGCTGGAACCCCTCGTCAGCATTTCGCAGGTTATGTCCACTCCTCCGACCCTTGGGTTCTCACAGTCCTTACAATCAGGCTGCTGAGGACTTCGGACAATACGCACCAAGCACCTTGAGGTGAACCCCCACACAGTAGGCATTCAGTCGCCAGCACTTACGAAATCAGCTGTGTTAGGTTCTTTAATGATTGCCTAAAAGTTAGCCAACACTTTTCTCTTGGCAAAATGTCAACTGGTGGCATGTTTTCCAGTCTCTTCCTAGTGTCTTTTAAAACGAGTGATTTGGAAAATGACTACCTTTCTCGTCTAAGTATAAGGGTGTGTGTATGTGTGTGTGTGTGCATGTTTAAAATGTACTTGCGGCACTAACATCGGCAGAAGGACAGACACAGGGCGAGGACCGCAGGAAGCTGAGGATTCCCCATGTAGCATCTGTGCATTTATCACTGGGGCTGCATGTCCTAAGTACTGTTATGAATGAAACATGTTTAAAAGGAAGCATGGAATCTACGACCGATGCTTCCAAGTTTATCCAAATTTAATGGGTAAGCTCACACTTTTCCCCATCAAGCAAGCAAAGTTTTTGTTCAAGATACTTAACAATTCTTGTATCACCTTTAGTCTCTAAGTCCATGTGACAATGTGTGTGTGTATACCAAGGACTTGGAAAGGATTCCCATGCATATTCTACGAGGCTGGACTACATCCTAACCCAAACTTACCGAATCATGTCCATTATTATCTCACAACTTACAAAGCAGCTTGCTGACCACCACAGGGGACGAGGCTGCATGGTACCGTCATCCCACTGGATATTACACAGCTATTAAACACAAAGCAAGAAGCATTTAAATAAGATGTTTAAGCGGCAGAAGCAAGGCATAAAGCATTATGGAGCTGTGATTCCAGAGTTGTGTGTGCCACTGTGATTCTCAGTGGCAATAAGAAATCCACAATAAAGAATTGGAATTGCACACAGGGATCAAAATCCGCCCCCCAGCCTGAAAGGGCGCAGTGTTGGCCCAGCTACCCACGTCCCGATGTTAAACAGCCGTGTGGGACGAGCACACTGCTGATTCAGACCCTTTTTATGAATGGCGGGGACGGCGGAGTGGTTAGGAACGCTGGAAGTTATGCTGGCAACTGGAACCCGGCCTCCTTCAGCTTTCCGCTTAATGGAGCCTTGGGGAGACTTCACACCCCACGCCTGCCCCAGTGCTCTCTGCCTCACTAAGAAGTTTTGGGGGGAGTGTCAGAGCTGAGACCAGGCTGGGAAGGTGAGCAGGGCTCACAGCCTTCCACTAGACACAATTCTGCACAGGGAAAAAGGAAATGAAACACTACACACACACACACACACACACACACACACACACACACACACGCACGATCCAGGTCTGCAAACGCTGCCTGTCCCTCCCTTTCTGGGGGGATCTTACTTCATGACAGTATGGAAAGCACACACTTTCCCACCCCTATTCTAAGCAGAACTCTTTGAAAATGCTGCCTGTCCCTCCCTTTCTGGGGGGATCTTACTTCATGACAGTTTTAAAACCCCCACTTCGCTCCCAATGCCCACCACGACCACCACCCACCCAGCCAGGCCAGCAAGCAGGCCCGGCTGTCCTCCAGCTTCCTGAACTTTCCTCCAGGTATTTGTCACATCGGAGCTTCCAATGCTAACCCTAACCCCACACAGATCAGGAACAGAAGAAAAGTGCCCATTGACACGCCTCCTGTGACACACAGCTCCTGTGACACAGGCTCGGGCTCCACAGGTGAGAGAGAGAGCCACCCAGATCCCTTGGACCTGGAATAACTAACACCTTTCTGCTCAGAGCTCCTCTAACCCGGCCAGCGTGACCTTCCGCAACCAGCCCAGGGCTCAGGTCCCCCCAGGGCCGCCCCGCTGCAGGGCAGGCTTCCCTCTGCAAACAGCCCGCGATGGTGGGAAGCCAAAGTCAACTGCAGCCACTGTGCACACACAGGAGGAGACAACACACAACCCCACACCTCCACGGCCACCCTGCAGGCCACTGCTCCCCACCCGGAGCGGTGCCTGCTCGCTGGCCGGATGCACAGTAGCTACGGGTTTGCATATGTCACTGCAGACCAACAACTGGGGGGGCGGGGGGAAGAATGGGGGGGGGGAGGAGAAGGGGGGCTGTCTGCTTAGCTGCTGGTGGTCCGTTTAAAGAAACACCTACAGGCATCTCTTCGTCCCTAGCTCAGGTTCCATCGGTGCAGTTTCGGGGACTTAGGCGATTTCCAGGCTGGACACGCGCTCACCAGGGACCTCAGCATGCCATCACCCCTGCGGAAAGCCTGGTCTACACCCGGCGCCAAGTGACTCCCAATCCGGTCCCACACAGCAGCCAGCCGGCGAGGACAGGTCCCCGGGGCCTGCGACCCCTTTCCTGGGCCACCCAGGAGCCTTTCCCCTGAAACACGCTGCTCCTTGTGGGGGCGAGAGGGGCGAGCACCCCACATGCGGCCCCCCCCCCCCCAGCAGGAATATTTGGTAAGAAAGTTGCCTAAGAGACCTCTCCAGGGTTTCCCAGGTGGGAGGTGGGCGGGAGGGACGGCTGGCCTCCCAGATGACCGTGTGCGGAGGGCCCCCCACCCCCGGGTTGGTGTTTTCCGGGCGTCCTTCTCCATGACCGGCCCGGGCCCCGGCCTCCCCGTCTCCCCGCGGCGGCCGCGCCGGAGAGACCGCGCCAGGGCTGCGGCAGCCGCGCCAGCCGAGTCCACGCCGGGCGGGCACCCCTCCCTCCCTCCCTCCCGTCGGATCCCTCTCCCCGCCGAACCCCGTCCCTCCCCGCCGGACCCCCTCCCTCCCCGCCGGACCCCCTCCCTCCCCACCGGACTCCCTCCCTCCCAGCCGGGACCCTCTCCCTCCCCGTTGGACCCCCTTCCCCGCCGAACCCCATCCCTCCCCGCCGGACCCTCTCCCTCCCCGCCGGATCCCCCTCCCCGCCGGATCCCCCTCCCCGCCGGCCCCCGCTCCGGCCCCCGCGGGGCTCACTCCCCGCCGGACCCCCCCCCCCCCCACTCCGCCCGCCGGACCCCTCTCCCCGCCGGACCCTCCTCCCTCCCCACCGGAGCCCCCTCCCTCCCCGTAGGACGCCCCTCCCCACCGGCCCCCCTCCGGCCCCCGCGGGGCGCACTCACCGCTGTCCAGCCGCGCGATCTGGGGCAGCCGGTACGTGCTGACCAGCAAGTCGAGCGGCACGGCCACCGGGCTCCACTTCACGTCCTTGAGGCTGCAGCCCAGCGCGGGCTCCATCGTCCCCGCCGCCGCCCGCCCGCCCCGCGCCAGCCGCCCGCCGCCGCCGCTGGCGCTGGCGCTCCGGGCGCGGAGGCGCGGGCACCGGGGCGGCGGGAAGGGGCGCTCAGCGGCCGCCGCGGGGCATGGCCGAGCGCCCCGCTGCCCTCAAGCCCCGAGCTGCCCGGCGATGGCCGAGGTGGCCGCGGCGGCTCCCGCTCCGCCTCCTCCGGCGCCGGGTGCGCGGCTGCGGCGGCCGCCGGCTCGCCTCCTCCTCGGCCCCCTCCTGCCCTCCGCCCCGAGCGAGTGAGGAGGAGCCGAGGGTCCGAGCAGCGCCATAGCAGCGCTCCCAGCACCGACTGACCGCCACGGTGCGAGCAACGCCTGCGCGGCCCAGACACCGCCCCCGGCCCGCCTCCCGCCCCGCCTCCCGGTGCCTCCGGTCCCTCCCGGTGCCCCTCCCGGCCGCCCCCCTCCCCTCCCCTCCCTGCTGGGCGGCAGCTCCCGCCCGCCCCGCCGGCGCTCCGCGAGCTGGGCTCTCGCTCCCCCGTCCGACCGCTCGGGGCCCTGCAGCCTGTGGGTGCGCCGCGCGCCCAGCTCCTCCGGGCCCCGCAGGGGGCGGAGGGGGGGTGTCTCAGGGTCCCCGAGGCCTGGCGTCAGGCTCCCCCCGTCCCGCAGTGGCTAATGCGGGCCCAAAGGGACCGGCTGGGAGGCTTCTCTGCAGAGAGGCTGGCAGGGCCGGCGGGCACAGCCTCGGCGTCTCCCCACCCTGCAGCCCTGCAGCACTGCACACCGGCTGACCCTGCAACCGGCTGACCCTGCAACTGGCTGACCCTGCAACCGGCTGGGAGGGAATCTGTCCGCCCAAGTGAGCTTGGACTACTGCGCAGGGTGACAGGCCCAAGCTGGGAGGAAGCCGATGGAGGAGGGTACCCACCTAAGGGAGGGTGACCATCCTGTTAGGACCTCCATGGTCTGAGCCAGCTCCTGGGGACCTGGGCAGGAGGCTGCCACGGCCGCCACCACTGGGCACGCGCTCAGGGAAAGGACAGAGAGGTTCTGGGAGCCCCTGAGGCCAGCGGTAGTCACACCCTTCTCCCACTCACTCCTCAGTTCTTTCCTTTTACAGATAGATAGATAGATAGATGATAGATAGATAGATAGATAGATAGATAGATAGATAGATAGATAGATTTCCCAGAAGGGAGAGAGAGAGAAACATCAATGATGAGAGAGAATCATTGAATGGGGCATGTGCCCTGACCTGGAATTGAACCCTGATATCCTGGTTTCACAGGTCAATGCTCAACCACTGAGCCACACTGGCCCAGCTGAGTTTTTCCACGCTAGCCCCAATTGCTCCACGCCCTTAGCAGGTGCAAGCAGGGCTGGTGAGGTCAGTGCATGAGAATGACAGCAGTGGGACTGGGGCTGCAGGCAGAGAGGAGACCAGGGCCTGGCAGGGGCACGGAGGATAGGTTGAGACCTACCCCTGTGCCACTGCAGCCTTGTGGCCCACAGTTCCTTTCAAGGTGCACTGGGCCACCCTAGTAGTTCCATAAAGTTCTGAGATTTGCTCACCTAAATTTTTTTAATAAAGAGCAAATACCAGCTAATTGTCATTCTATCTAAATAATTCATCATTTCTAGACATAAAACTCAGACTCCAAAAACAATGTAGGAAACATTTTAAACTAAACAGGGTCAGGGGTCCTTTAAGCAGTAAGTAGATCCTAAAACTTTATGTGGTAGGTATATTTTTAAAAAATAATAACTCTCAGCTACTATTAGATCTTTAAAATCTCCAGGGAATAGAAATACTTCCCTGTCACAGAAAGATTGGTGACTTATGGCCTACAGACAAGATGAAAAGTATAAGTATTCATGCACCAACATTTTTAACCAATTGCGAATTTACATTCACTTTGCTCTTATTGCTGACTTTGCAGAAAAGGGCACCGTTTCATTTTGTATTAAAGGGAAGAAATTTTAATGAGATACAGATTCTTATATAAGTCTCATGTTCTGATGGAACTCTGCAGAAAGATCTTAATTGTGAGATGGATAGGGTTTGGTTAAACTGTAAAAAACATCAGCAGAGAAGGGTAATTTTTTTTGGTCTGGCTGTTTATGCTGATGGAACGATACGGTAAGCCCAAGGGTGAATCAGGCATATGATACAATGGGACTCATGAGGGACCCTTCCCAGCCTCCTAACTGTGAAACTACTGTTTCCACACACACAACTGGTTGGTTTTCTGCATTATCAGCTTTGCCAGATAAAAATATTACATGTTGGTTTTCCTCCTATCAGAATGTCCTAGGTCACATCTAGTGCTAGCGGTCAAGGGTGATAGCTTGCAACCCCGTTGTTCTCTGGGTCTTTAACTCCTTTCCATTTCAACGAATTGCCATGCTGTTGCTGGAACTCACCTGAAAGCCACTCCCTGGCTGGAACCTTGCACAGTGCCTGTCTCACCGCGTGGTCCAAGAGGCGCTTTCCCAATGTGGCTGGGTCTGCCTCCCAGTTCATTTAGCATGCCTCCCTTCTCATAGGATCTGGCAGTCACACCTGTCGCTGCTCCGGATGAAGGGGTGCTCTCTCAGCGGAGAGTGCCTTTGTCCTGCTGTGCAACTCCTGCTCCAGCTCCCCCTCCGTGTCTGTCACGGAGCTGCCACTCCTGTGTTACCATTGTACGTGTGTGTCATCGTCGTCGCCCCCCCTCCCCGCCTTTATTTGTGCTCATTGCAGACTTACTGTCTGTTCTTATGAAGTAGACCAGCTGACGTTCTTCCCACCTAGACCAGTCTATGGTTCATGACATAATTTAGAATTTAAAAAACAAAACAAAACATTTATCTATTTTAGGTGATAGCACAGGTAGAAAATAATTTTGTTTTTATTAGTGCCCAAATCATAGCTAATATTAATAAATAGTTATGAGTGTCCAATGCCTTTGCAGGGTGTAGACACGTTTGCTGCTGGCTTTTGGATGAGTTGAAGCTTCCAAGGCGCTTTAGTGTCAGGGACACTTGGAGCTTCTGTTTCTAAGCCTCTCCCTAGATGGGTCATGCGGTCAATTCCCTGCAGACAGAGCCTCGGTAGGTGTGGTGTGGCTGCCCTCTTGGTAGGAAGCAGTGGCGAGAGAACACAGGAAGAAGGTTGTTGTGCTGGGCACCTCTTCTGGACACCTGACTGACATCCAGATTGTAAGCCGTTTCCTCCTGATGATTCGTCATTCAGGCTGGAGAGTGTTTACTTATTTAGAATTAACACTTAACTTCTCCAGTCCATTTCCTACTTATTCTCGAACCCACTTCTAAAACATGTTTTTATTGATTTCAGAGAGGAAGGGAGAGGGAGAGAGAGAGAGAGAGAGAGAGAAACATCAGTGATGAGAGAGAATCACTGATTCGCTATTTCCTGTATTCCCTCTAATGGAGATCAAACCCAGGCATGTGCCCTGACCAGGAATTGAACCACTATTTCCTGGTTCATGGGCCACACCAGTCTCTAAATCCCACTTCTTAAAGAATTTATGCCATTCCCTCATCTCAAAAACATTTAAATTTCCCCCAGAATGCTGTTTTATAATATTTTATAAATTTTTAAATTAAAATATGGAAAATCCAACGAGAAAACAAAAGACCTATAATCCCATCATTTAAAGTCCTATCTACTATTTTAAAATATTTTATCATTAAATATCATCTGTTCTCTATAGTATCTTTTTCCTTCCTTAACATGTACTTCAGGGTCACACCTGAACTTAGTTTAGTACTGTCAATCTTTTCCAAGCATTCAAGACATTGGTCACCTATTTTTGAATGGATAAGAGTGGAAATGAACTCACAAAAAAGGGAAAGAGATACAATATTAGTATAAACTTTCTCTTTACTTTCTGGACTCTAGTGTTATAAATGCTTTGCATTTGCCATTTAAAAAGAATCTAGCCCTGCCCATGTGACTCAGTGGTTGAGTGTCAACCTATGAACCAGGAAGTCATGGTTCAATTCCAGGTTAGGACACATGCCCAGATTGCAGGTTCAATCCCCAGTAGAGGGCATGCAGGAGGCAGCCATTCAATGTTTCTTTCTCATCGATGCTTCCCTTCCTTTCTAAAATAATTAAAAAAAAAATATATACCAATTTGAAAATATTGACTATATTTCAATTTATTTAGTACATATCTAACATAGGAGTTTTAGCAGGAAAAAAAAAGAAAATACATAAAATGATTATTGGAACAGCAACCAAATCTATCCCATTGTTGAAGATTTAATCCTGGTAATTTATGCCCTTTCAAAAGAGGATCATATTATAGTCTATGTTTCAATTCATTTAAATTTTAAAAGTACTTTGATTAATCGCTGTATAAATATTCATAGCTCACTTCCCACTCTTGGTTCATGTGTCTATCTATCTAACTCTCTACTCATTCAATAAATATTTACTGAATACTATGTGCCAGGTACCATTCAAGCCAATAGGGCTGTGAAGATGAGTTCTTGTTCCTAAGTCTTAACCTAATGGGGAATCCAGAAATACCGTCAAGAAAGATAATTATTACAATCCAGTGTGGTAAAGGTTAAACATGTGTGGTGATATTTTGAGACTACAAAGGGAGCCTCTTACTTGGCAAGAAATGGAATGAGAACATTATAGACATCTTTGGAAAGATGGACAAGTAGAGAAGCATATGATAGAACAAATTTGCTAAGACAGGACTCAGGGAGAAGCCTGGGAAATGAACACCAGGGGAAAGGAACGTGCAAGGATCAGTGTGAAGTCAAGAAGCAACATATTGCACCGGAGGAGCCATAATGAGTGTGGCTTTGCTGACTTTTGAGATTTGAGGTAGGTTCTGGTTGAGAGGAGGCTGGATGGTTAGACAGGAGTTAGGTCAAGGAGAGATTTACCTATCCTATGAAAGAAATTGAACTCGATCTTAAAGGAACTGTACTAAATGACCTGTGACATTAGTGATGGGAGCCACTGGGGAGTCTTACGCAGGAATCTG